ATGTGTGTATGATCTACTTCTTAAAAAAATTATTGTATCCCGTGTATTCTCGTATCTCGTGTTCCATATACATGTAACCTAACTCCTGGTATATGAGACTACTCTATACACCAAGCCAATTGATAAAGGTTTGTTCTTATTACTAATAAAAAATGAAGTGTTTTTTTTTTTAATTATTTTTGTGTCATTGAAATAAGAAATTAAGTATTTTTTTGTTCATGATTTATTAATAAATAATTTTTTATTTATTTGAAATATTAATGTATTACTTATTTAGTGTAGTGTGTTCTAATCATGTAGATGTCCTACTTTTTTTAAAATTATTGTATCTCGTATCCCGTTTCCGTGCAACCTAACTCCTGTTATATGAGACTACTGCACACACCAAGCTAATCAACCAATGTTTTTTTATTACCAATAAAAGACGAAGTATTTTTTTTTAATTTATCTTTGTCTCATTGAAATAACAAATTAAGTTTTTTTTATGTTTATAATTTATTATAAATGATTATTTATTTATTTGAAATATTAATGTATTACTTATTTAGTGCAGTGTTTTCTAAGCGTGTGGATTCCTATTTTTTTAAAATTTTTGTATCCGTCCGTTTCTGTATCTCGTGTCTCATGCCTGTACAACCTAGCTCCTGGTATATGAGACTATTCAATATACCAAGTTAATCAACCAAGATTTTTTTCTTATTACCAATAAAAAATGAAATGGTTTTTATTTATTTTTGTGTCTTTGAAATAAGAAAATTAAGTATTTTTTTTCATGATTTATTAATAAATAATTATTTATTTATTTGAAATATTAATTTATTACTTATTTAGTGTAATGTGTTCTAAGCGTATGGATGTCCTACTTTTTTAAAAATTATCGTATCGCATACGTTCCCGTATCTCGTATCCCATATTCATGCGACCTAGCTCCTAGTATATAAGACTACTTCATACACCAAGCTAATATACCAAGATTTTTTTTATTACCAATAAAAGATAAAATGTTTTTTTTTATTTTTTTTTAATTTGTTTTTGTGACATTGAAATAAAAAATTAAGTATTTTTTATTTTATGTTTATGATTTACTATAAATGATTATTTATTTATTTGAATATTAATGTATTATTTATTTAATGTATTATGTTCCAAGCGTGTGGATATCCTACTTTTTAAAAATTGTTATATCTTGTACGTTTTTGTATCTCGTATCCCGTTTTCATGCAATCTAGCTCCTGGTATATGAGACTACTTTATACACAAGCTAATCAATTAAAATTTTTTTTTTATCACCAATAAAAAATAATGTGTTTTTTTTTAAATTTATTTTTGTGTCATTGGAATAAGAAATTAATTTTTTTTAATTTTATGTTTATTATTTATTATAAATGATTGTTCATTTATTTGAAATATTAATGTGTTTACTTATTTAGTGTAGTGTATCATAAGCATGTGGATATCTTACTTTTTAAAAGTTGTCATATCAATACGTTCTCGTGTCTCATGTCCTGTGTTCGTGCAACCTAGCTTCTAGTATATGAGACTATTGCATACACCAAGTTAATCAATTAAGGTTTTTTTTACCAATAAAAATGAAATATTTTTTTTAATTTTTTTGTGCCGTTGAAATAAGAGATTTAGTGTTTTTTTTATGATTTATTATAAATAATTATTTATTTATTTAAAATATTAATGTATTACTTATTTGGTGTAGTGTGTAAATATTAATGTATTACTTATTTGGTGTAGTGTGTCCTAAACGTGTAGATGTCATAATGTTTTAAAAATTATTATATATATCATGTATGTTTCCATATTTTGTATTCTGTATCCGTACAACCTAGTTCTTGATATATGAGACTACTTTATATATCAAGCTAATTAAACGAGATTTTTTTATTACCAATAAAAAATGAAATGTTGTTTTTTTAAAATTGCTTTTGTGTAATTGAAATAACAAACTTTTTTTTTAATTTTATATTTATAATTTATAAATAATTATTTATTTATTTGAAATATTAATGTATTACTTATTTAGTATATTATGTCCTAAGCATATGAATATCCTACTTTTCAACAATTATTGTATCCATACATTCTCATATCTCATATCCCTAGTTCATACAACCTAGCTCATGGTATCTAAGACTACTTCATACACCAAACTAATCAACTAAAGTTTTTTTTATTACCAATAAAAATGAAGTGGTTTTTTTTTTAATTTGTTTTTGTATAATTGAAATGAGAAATTAAGTTATTTTTTTATTTTATATTCATGTTTTATTATAAATGATTGTTTATTTATTTGAAATATTAATGTATTATTTATTTAGTGTAGTGTGTCCTAAGTACGTGGATGTTCTACCTTTTTCAAAATTATTGTATCCATACACTAGCTAATCAATCAAGATTTTTTCTTATTACCAATGAAAAATGAAATATTTTTTTAAAAAATTTGTTTTTGTGTCGTTGAAATAAGAAATTAAGTTTTTTTTTTTAATCTTATGTTTATAATTTATTATAAATAATTTTAAATTAAGTTTTTTTTTTTAATCTTATGTTTATAATTTATTATAAATAATTTTTTATTTATTTAAAATATTAATGTATTACTTATTAAGTATATATTATTATTGGTCTAATTGAGAGAAAGAAAATATTAAAATATAATTGAGTGGGAGATGTTAAAATATAAAAAGTGAAAAATATAAAAAAAAATTAAAAAGTATACATTACTTTTGGTCCCTATTATAAAAAACATAAAGATTTAGTTTGATTGATTTTGTAGAAAACGTTTGTGATAATTAATTGTTGGCCCCTACGGTTCTTTTTTTTATTTTTTAATTTTTAATAATTAAACAAATTTGTTGGTCCCAATTGTTCCTTCTCACGTGTGGCAATTTTAGAGACTTATAATGCAAATTGTAATTTTAGAGATTTATAATTGGCTTTGCTTTTGTATATATATTATATAGATTAGTTGAAGGTGACTGTAAGAAAAAGAAAATTACAGTTTTATCTAATGATTCTTTAAATTATTTTGATCCAAATAAAACCATAGCATATCAAATAATTAAGAGTTCCAAATAGCTTGTAATTTGGTAGTGGTCACAGAACCAGAAAGACAACCAAATCTTGACAGAGTGTGCTAAAATTCATTTTCTTTATTGAATTTTGCTATTAGCCAAACAAACTGATCAACAAAAAGATGAAAAAGAAAAGAAAGAAACAAAAATGAGCAAATATTATGTCGAGTAATGCAGGGAAACCACCTTTTAGATAAAAAGAACAGCCTGCAGCTTCCAGAAGAATTCTTTCACATGTTGAGCAGCAGTATAATAACTGCGGTTTCTCAGACATCACCATTGCAGGACATCCATAGAAAATTTTCATCAGAAACACAAAAATAAAAAATAAAAAGTGATAATGGAAAAGTGATAATGGAAAAGTGATAACAGAGTTGAATTAAAGAAGAAATGAACCGGAACACCAATCACCTTATAAAGTAGGCTGAGAACTTGGCTGGCTTTCCTCTTTGGAAAACCTGATCTACACAGTTGTTCTTCATTGTCAACATGTCTGCCACCAAACCCAAAACCAGGTTCTTCAATTTCGATTTTTTCAAAATACCCTATAAGCACTGTGTTTCCAGTACCAACATTCCCTTATTCCCTGTTTCAATTACAATTTAAAAATTTTGGCCAAATCCATAATTTTCCCTTGAACTTTTCTCAAATTGCATTTGTCTCAACTTTGCAAAGATTGCTTGTGCCCCTTAAGTTACCTTTTTTAAGTTACCTTTTTTATAGCTTGCTGCATGAACTCAAATGCAGATAAGTGTGAACTCTTCAAATTTTGTCCAGCGTGGCAAAAACGACATCGTTTTACATTATCAAATCATTTTAACAACTTTTTTTTTATGGTTAATGAAATCAAAACTAGATACAGGTTTGTATTTTTTTTTTTTTTCAATTTTTATTTTTTTCTTGATTTGATTTTAAATATTGATAGTCTCTAAATTGTGTTATTGGTATTATAGAAGATCTTTTATCTTAGATTTAGCATTAATTTCATCAAAGAAAACTCTTTTTGATTTGAAGTTTTAAATTTGTTTGTGTTTTTGAATTTGAATTTTTTTTTTTTTTTTTTTTTTTTTTTTTTTGCACATTTGAATTTTTTTTTTCTTTTTTTTTTTTCTTTATGTTTCTGCATGTTCCTTTTTCTTTACTAAATTTTTTTTTTTTTTTTTTTTTTTTTTTATGTTCTCATGTTTCTTTTTTTTCTAAAAATTCCAAAAAAAAAAATAATGGAGTTCAGATTTTTTGTGAGAGAAAGGGATTTCAACAAGATGAAGATTTTTTATTTTTCTCTGTGGGATTTCAGTTTATGGCAAATGAGTTAAGTTTTTTTTTTTTTTTCATTTAATTTTTCATTTTTCTTTCTTTTCTTTCCTATCATTTCTTGTACATGTGTAAACCAACGTGGCAAATACATTGATGACAAATCAACTACTTATAACACGTTAACGCGAGTGTATTTCACACTAAATCTTCAATTTGCTCAGGGTACAAAAACTACAAAAAAAGCAACTTAAGGGCACAAGCAGTCCCCCGCAAAATTGAGGGGGGGCACAAATGACAATTTAAGAATAGTTCGGAAGAAAATTATGCATTCGGGCATTTTAAAACCATGATTTTAAAAATACCAATTGACCAAGTGACTAAATGAAGAAATAAGGAATACCAAATCATTATGGTCTGAAGTTTTCCAATTACCTTTTACCTTTTTCTTGTGTTTTGTTCTCCATCTGCTCAACCTCTTGTTTTATGTTGTCCTTCTGATCATTCTTCTATTGATTGAGGTTTTCACTCCAGTCAGCATGATAATGCTGAAGGCTTGATGAAGTTACAGAGGCCATTACATTGACTTGATAAAGTTACTGCCAATGGAATCCTAGGTAAAGTGCCTATCTCTATCTCTATTTTGCAGTGTAGATAATCAGGTTCATACATAGCTTTCTTGAGCTTTCTCCCTTCAACAAAAATAATGAATATAATTTTCAGTTGGTGGACAAGCAAAACATTGCCCCACAACCCAGCAATCGAATTTTTAATGCTTCACCCAGTCAACAAAACCCCTAAGATTCTATCATAATTTGAAATGAAATAAACAAATGAAATTACGAAGGTTAGGGAAAATATCGAGACAACTTGGCAATGTATTGATATGGGGAAAAAAAAAAAAAAAAACACACCTCTGCTCCTTTTTGCTTCATTTATTTATATACTAAAGTGGTAAAATTTATAATATCACTGCGTTGGTGATGCAGACCAACTAGAATTAATATTTTATCCCAACATATTCTGTCAGCAACCTTGAAAAAATGAAGGTCAATCTCAGTGCATTGCCTTTTCCATACAATAGTGTGCATCGTCGTTTAACTTTGGATGGCAAGATCCTGCAGGAGACATTGCAAAATTCTTCAAATATTATTCTTAAAATAAATAGGAAACTGTCTTGCTTTTCTTTTACAAACACCAGGTAATTGACTTATCTTTCCTCATACCACATTTGTTACAATGGAAGAAATTTTCCCTCCCTCCATTTCTGTAAGAAGGAAATGAATGGGTTAGGGTATTTCAAATAGCAATAGCTTCTGAAGGAATCAATCACTAGGCCATGAAAATATCATTTCTGTAAGAAGGAAATGAATGGGTTAGGGTATTTCAAATAGCAATAGCTTCTGAAGGAATCAATCACTAGGCCATGAAAATATTACTTAATCCAGTGATTTAGACATCACAACTTAGCAACAAATTTGGCGAAACCAGTATGGACAAGGAGTAGTTTAGGAATTTTCTTTCATGAAGAACAGAGGATATCACTATGATGATTATGGGACGTAGAGATGCATGATTACGCTAGGAATGAACTGAGACAATGGTAAAGAAAATGAACATTCTACCTGCAAATTTCACATTCATCACAATGGTATTGATTCTTTGAAACCTGAAAACAGCAATCCAGTAGAATAATCAGTAAACATGGTCTAAATTAGCAGTAATACAAGTCAGATAGATAAACACTGAGAAGCAAGGAAGAAAAGTACATCATTGTCGAACAATTTGCACTTTGCACAAAAGTACTTTCCCATACAAACACCACATCTAATGCAATTCTGCTGAACCTGATTGAATACAACATAAGAAAATTAAGAACCCAGGAGAATTTTAACAGATCACTAAATTATCTTTGACTTGCACCATCTTATTTTATACACTTACATCTTGTTCTGTGCCACAAAGGGAGCAGATAACCTGAAAGACAAAGGAAATAGGACAGAATTAGAAAACAATACAAGACAGCTCGAGGAACAAAATAACCTTCAAATCATCCCTGTCCAATAAAACAGAAGTACAGACAACCATGTTTTTGTACCAGCAGCGCAGATAAGTTCTGCATTTTATGAGAAAACTTAGGCAGAAGGCCAAATTTTATAATGTTCTGCACTGCAAAATGCAATCCATGCAAATAATTAAATTGTATCTAACATTTTTCATTTCCAAGTTTGGATGAGAGGTTTTGTCAATCTACAATCTATCGTTGCCTGACTAACAGGGGAGGAGACATGTGGAACTAAGTGGAGTCACATGACCCCATTTGAAAATTTCAAAATACTCCTTAATCTACATGCATTTTAAGTGTAACCCCATTGAAAGTTTCAAAAGTGATCGCACTGAAATTGTTAAAAATGCATCTAAATTTTAATTAATTACTGATCTTTTACCTTAAAAATTTAAAATATAGAGCGACTTTAAGTGTTGACTCTAGTATAATTCTCAAAAACCCTGTATTTTGTATATTTTAAGTGGTACCTTCATTAAGTTCTAAAGTGCTCCACTAGAATTAATAAGATATCTCTAATAATTGATTTTAAATAATATCCTAAATAATTGATTTAAATTTTTTATATGTGACTAACCAACTAAAGAAAATCTGAATGAGAAATCCTAATCTCTTAAATGAATATTTGATATCTTATATATCAAATCGTATAGTTAATAATATTGATAATAGACAGTATTATGCTAAACAGAGTCAAATATAAAATTAACGTTAAATATAATACTTATATATATATATATATATCTACAACTATTAACTCGAATTTCTCTGTATGCTATTATTCGAGTCTTATCTTACTCACTACCAAAACTAAATTTTCTTTTCCAGCAAAACTTATGTTTTTTCCATGAAAATGGTATATTTACAACTATAACACACATTGAAATTTTGCTTTTATAAAATATTATAATGTCCTTATATTAAGATATTATATCATTTACTAAATATGTTATTTAATAATATAAAAATATTTTGTGATCCACTACTCAAAATTCTTGCTAGCCAACTATGACCATAACCTTATCAGATAGTCATTGGGCTAAAGTAGAAATGTGACAGGACACATCCTAGTTTACCTCCACTCTTTTGAGTTGACCTTCACATTAAGGTCTCTGTTTTTCCCAATTCTACTTTGGACATCAATGCTTATTAAGCTGCTTTCTCAGTTTCAATTCAAACTATTCAACGTATTCATCACAAATCTTCAATCAGACTATTAAGTTCCATTCATCATTATTCCATTAGATAGACCCTTTCATTCAAATTACTATTATTACTATACTACTACTTAATAAAGGGTAAATTATTAGATCTACAGAAAGTTTCTGAATAAAACTCAAACCTTTATGCACTGTCCATGGCTTGAACTCAAACCTTTATGACTTCATGGCTTGGTATACAGTGTTTATCACAAAGATTAGTTTCCATTGCATTCTGCCAATAAAAATACAACAATAAAAAATAACTAATATTTAACCAAGAATAAAAATAATTAGCCAAAATAAAATCCATAAACACAGGTTGGGTTGCAGAAGAAAGGATACAGTTGCTGTACCTTGGCTTCATCATGGCGGTGCCAACAATCAAAAGTGCCATTGCAACAAGGTGCTCTAATTTTGCATCTGCTTCTATAATGTGAGCATCTAAATCCACCAGAGAACAGTGCATGATAGTAGCAACAAAACTTTCCATTAGCAAAAAGCCAAGGAACTAGACGGAAATATCAACAAAAAATATGAATTTGAGTATTATCAAAGCTCCCATACCCAAAATCATCAGATACAAACTCTATGGGAGACACATGATCAACAGGTTCGCTAGGATTTGATTGGACCTCAATTTTAGTCTCCATTCTCTTTGACATTTGAACATTCTGCTCTATCTTCCTAGTCAACTCTTGTCTATGATCCACAGATCCAAGCTCCATCGATGATAAACTTGCATCTCCAAATTGACTGAGATCAGAGTGATGCTGAATTTCAGCCCTTGCTCTGGTCTCTTGACAATTGACCTCCTCCATCTTTCTTCTCAATTAGAACATGTAAAAATAAATTGAACAATAATAATCAACATCCAGTACCTATTACAATTGCTGTTTCATTTAACTAGATCATGAAAATGTACCTGATTATTTTGGAGATGAGCACACACAAGAGGAAGATGAAAGGTAGAAGGGACATGTTGATAGGGTTATCTAAATTGTGAAGGGCATATATATATTGCACCATTGAGTAAATGCACTGCCAGACAGCACAGGTTAATCCAAAAATATGAACAATTACAAAAAGTTCGCTAGGTGGGGAATTATCAGTCAAGCGACAATAAAAACAAGTTGACCGGCCCCTTTCCAATGTGATAAGTCCTTCTCTACGAGCCATGTTAACTAGCTCAAGTGTAGAAATAAATAAAGCCACAAATGACAGTACCATGCCCACTAACAGATAACCAAGCTGGTCGAGAAGAGCTGAGACACCCTCTAGAAGCAGGCTCCCCATCAAAAGAATCCATTCTGTTGTTTCCTGTAGAAAAGACATTATAACTAAGATATTTCAAAACAATCATGATGAAAAAAACTTGCAGTTCACGATTGACGGTGCTCTGTTGTTTCCTGTAGAAAAGACATTATAACTAAGATATTTCAAAACAATCATGATGAAAAAAACTTGCAGTTCACGATTGACGGTGCCCAGTTCAATATTGTCTGTTGTTTCCTGTAGAAAAGACATTATAACTAAGATATTTCAAAACAATCATGATGAAAAAACTTGCAGTTCATGATTGACGGTGCCCAGTTCAATATTGCACTAAGTCTCTCCCTGGGTTGTCATGTTGTCTGTTTTAGGCCATTGGATGCCCATACTGTTTGCTGTTTGTTCTTTGAGAAAGAAGTGCTCTAGGTGAAAGGTGTTAGTCTTACAGACCAAGACCTATACCTCCTTTACTCTCTCTATGATACTTTGGCATCATCAATAATCAAATTAGAAGGAATAGTTGTATTTATTAAGGTCTTACAACACTTGAAGGTGAACTCTCTCCAGTTTCTGGATCAATTTTAGTGCAAGCATTTCTGGATGTAACAGGACTTTGACCCTGGCTCCAGCCTTCATTCAAATCCTGAACAGCAAATATTTGAATAATCTCTGGTTCTGATAATTGAAGAGTTGCCTGTGTGCTGCTTTCTTGTTTATGATCTATCGTTAAAGACTGGCCTTCAGCTATTATTACTCCTTCCTTTAGTATCTTTATCTTCCTCTCCTCAACAAGTTTCTTTAATCTTTTCTTCATGGTCACTGTTAGTACCTTCACATCAATGGTTGCTTTGACTGCTATAGTTTCATCCCCCTTAATAACTATTACCTGCTGTACTCCTGTAATATGACATATAATTGCCCATTAAAGTGTTATGCTTATTGCTGTATTAATGCAAAAGGTCAATTAGTGGAGAAACAAAATTGGAAGTTCAATAATACTGGAGATACAGTAAGGGTCGGAAGGTGTTGAAAGATTAAAATGTTACCTCTGATTCTGCGGATAATTTTACGGATCTTCCTGATGCATCCATCACAATGGAGTGGCACCTTGAATAATGTCGCTGTTGCTGAAGCCTATGTCACCAAAAAAAATTGAAATTCAAAGATAAGAATGCAAATATTAATCACAATATGAATATATGCCTTTCACATTTCAAATGAATGAAGCAGCCTAGATTGCAGAGGAAATAGATAAGGTACAGAAAACTCAACCCTGCATGAGTTTTGGCTCTTAATTGTTGAAATTAAAAAGGAATTTTAACTGACATATCAATTTGAGTAAATCCTATTGTTAGTTTATGAAAGATTGAGTTTTACTTAGCCTACTTGAAAGATTTTTGAGACAATAACAATTAAGCTTTAATCCCAAACTAGTTGCGTTCAGCTAAGTAAAATTTGAGACGGACTTTTGAGACATTACATAAAATTTGATGATACTCTCATTTGAAAGCTCTAAAGAAAGGCAAAGAACAAATAATAGACATTTATACGCGGCGAAGCAAAATATAAAGGACACATAATAATGACTCCAAAAAGTTCAAAATCTGCAATGAGAATACCTTTTCTGGTCCCAACTTCATTATGCTTTCTTCCATCTCAATACCATTAATCCCATTCTCTTGACCGCCACTACCTTTCTTCTTCTTTCCATCATCACTGCCGAACCCACTGCCTTTGACACTTCCATTGCTGTATTTCTCTTTTTCAATTGACAAGATCTCAATAGGTATATTCAGTCTCTATTCAGTCTCTTCTTCAGATTCTCATTTAACACCTTTTGGGTCCATGTCCCTTTGAATTTTGTCACTGTTTTCCTTCTGTTCATCCTCTGACATCTCTTGGCACACCTGAAATGAACTTGAAATTCTGTCAAGACTTACAGTTCCTGACCCTCCATCGATGAAGACGGATACAATAAGACGGCAACTAACAGGTCATGAATTACCAATTGTGTCTTCGACCGACGATCTTTCTAATCTTCGGCCGCATCCCTGGCAGTTGTGGTCCGCCAGCTTGAATCCACAACAATTGTTCTTCTCAAGGACTGTAAACCCCATTAAAAATTTGAAATTAATACTCCAATTACTCGCAAAACAACAAAATAATAAACAACAACGAATACAATCTTCATTAGTCTTGAAAAACTTTAAATTGGCATTAATTTCTTGAGATTAATAAATGGCTATGCAAGTAAAGGAGCTTGTACTTAGCTATTAAAAAATAGTACCTGTATTCTTCCAAACGAATCTTGTTCATCTCTGTTGCCGTCAGCGGCGGTGTCCACAATCCGGGGCTGAGCCAAGACAATGCTGAACTATTCTTCTTGATCTTTCAGGCGGAAGATATTCTTGAATCTCCCAAGGAGTTCACTTTAACCTTCCAGCAGTCAACTTGTTTTGAAATTTTACATCTGCTGTGGCGGAGATATTCTTGAATCTCCAAGGAGTTCACTTTACCTTCCACAGTCAACTTGTTTGAATTTACATCTGCTGTCACATTCTCTACACCTGAATTAAAGGAAAAAAATCAAGATAATAAATAAAATAAATCTGAGTAGTTGAAACAAAAAAAAAATAGAGAAAATGAGGAAATATTTGAAAAAATAAATTCTAAAAACAGAGAACATTATGAATTTTTCATAATTTATAAAATAAAAAAATTAATAATAATAATTCAATTTAAATAGTTCAAAATCAATAAATTGCAGGCTGGGATAATTGGAGATGGCAATAACAATAATAATAATAATAATAATAGTAATTATTCAAAAAAATAGGGAAAATGCATGAAATATATACATGAAAATGAAATACCTTTGAAGTTGCGAGCATGAGCGATAATCTGAGAAGAGCATCTTTCACTATTCAACTCAACCTCTAAAACGACGACGGATATGGTACTGATAGTCGTTTCCATCATGACTGATAAATTGAATTAAATTAAGAAGAGAAAAAATTTGAAGCAAACTGAACAGAAATACATAGCTGTGAATCTCTGTTTATTGTAATTGCTTCTGCTAAAATATGGAGAAGACAAGAACAGTAGTCCATTGACTGCTCAAGACTCAAGTCAATCACAAAAAAAAAACAATTCCTCTTTTTCTTTCTTCTCTTTTTTCTAACAGCTGCGTTCTATTAAAGCATGCAGTACAAAATCTTCAATGATTGTACTCTTTCAATCAGTGGCGTTTGACCCTTCCTTTTTCTTAATTTTCTTCTAATATACATGTATTTTTTCAATTCATCCTCTTAACATTCCCAATAACTTTCTTTATTTTAGTTTATTATATATTGATCCTAGAAAATTTTATTCATAAATCCGCCGCTGCTTTCAATATGCGTTTGAAAGCCAATACTTTTTTTTGGTAAATTTAGCGAATATTTTTAATTTTATTAAATATTACCTCGAATTTATTTTTCTTATTAATTATGATTTTCGTACAGAATTCATTAATTTATTTCTTATTTAAATGTTAATTAGACCTACAACACATAAGCTCACATTCACGTGGCCATTTTTTAATTATTCATCTTTATTTTTATAATTTTTAAATTGAAAAATTGCAATATTTGAGACAATATTTTTCTCATTTCACCATAGGCTTGAAAGAATTCGAACGGGCTAAATAATTAACAGACTCTTAATAGACCATCGGTGAGCAACTCGCATCATTAACAATCCCCAAATATGCCAAATAGATTTTTTTCGCTCCCATAATTACATCACTTTACTACATCCAGTCAAACTCTAAATAAAAGATATAATTGACAATAAAAATAAAATACAGAGTATATTCACAAAATTAAAAGTATTTGAGAAATTTGAAAAGAAATTCAAAAAGTAATGTCGGCAAAGTTTATTATTAAATATGACCTTTTCTTTTTCAGTAGCGACGTCATTTAATAGCATGGTGAACTTGGTCACCAAGTTGTTGCTAAGCACTGTAGGTTGCTTGGCCACAACTGCAACAAGTAATCTAACCGCCTAACACTATTCCTTTGAATCACATTTTAAAACCTTTCCATTCTACTACGTACTTTCCTCAAAAACCCTAATAATTGATTTAGAGGCAAGAATGGCTATGGCGATGGAGGAAGATGAAGATCTTTCCAAGAAGTGTTGTGGGATTATAGTTCCACGTCTTGAAAACATCGTATCAACGGTAAACCTAGACTGCAAACTTAGCCTTCAACGCATTATTCTCAAAGCAAGAAATGCAGAATTCAACCCCAATCGTTTCTCTGCTGTTATTATGAGAATTAAAAAACCAGAAAGCACTTCTCTCATTTTTGCATCTGGAAAGCTGGTATGGAACGGTGCCAAGACTGAAGAAGAATAGAAGATGGCTGCGAGAAAGTTTGCAAGAATCATCCAGAAATTAGGGTTTCCGGCCAAATTTAGGGATTTTAAGATCGAGAATATAGTGGCTTCTTGTGATGTTAAGTTTCCTATAAAACTAGAGAGGTTTGCACGCAGTCCACATGAAGGGTATTCTACGTATGAACCGGAACTCTTTCCGGGTCTTGTTTATCGCATGAAGAAACCGAAGATTGTAATGCTAATTTTTGTTTCTGGAAAGATTATAATCACTGGAGCCAAGAAAAGCCGATATACTTTCACTGCATTTGAAAGTATTTATCTTGTTCTTGCAGGCTTCAAGAGGTAATAATCGTCACTCGAAGGATTTTTCTTTTTTAAGTGCTTTCGAAGGAATTTTCTTGAAGCATTTATCCTCTTCCAGGCTTCAAGAAGTAATAAATTAATTATCATCACAGTAATTGTCTTTGTTTTTTTTTTTAACAATACTATAATACTTATTAGTTGTTGATTGTTGGATGTCTTTATGTATTTTACATTACTATATTAATTAATGGATTAGGTTTGAATTTCAATATGCTGTTTGATCATATATATTTTTATAGATTGAATTGTAAATTGAGGTGTAATTAGATTATCATTGTTAAGCATTTTATATTAGTTATTTAATCGTGTTAATTCATTCTTCATGAATCGAATGTACTACCTCTCTTTCATAATATTTATTACATTTGGAATTTTACGGTTTTTAAGAAAACCATTAAATTTGTTTAAATTCCAATAAATTATTAAATAAATTGACTAAATTACCTTTAATTTAATACTAATTCTCTAAGAAAATCATTAAATTGAAATAATAATTATTAGTTATATCAAAGGATTAACATGAAAAAAATGGATTTATTACTCCTTAAAACCACAAATATGACAAATATTTTGAAATAAATTATTTTCTGAAATGTGACAAATATTATAGAAGGGAGGTAATAACATTTATTAGTCCATAAATAGTATGGCTAGTTGCTCCTTGTATCGATATTCTCATATATCAAATATAGGTTATCTTATACTGCTAAAAATATGCTAAGTATTTTCTATTCCTTTCTATAATGTGAATTAATATATGTTAATGAGCTTTGGGGGACAACATTGTTAACAAACGTCAACTATATAATAATGTCTTTGTTATTTTGTTCCTTTTTCTTAATTCAACTATTAGTAATTTCCATTACCATACCCTGCTGACAATTTAGCATAGGTTAAAGATATGAATGCCTGACATTTATTCAATCCAAGCCATGTAAAAGACAGCAGACACAACCTTCGACACAACAAAATATAATAAAAAGCTCATGTCTAGCCAAACCCTGCAGAGAACATTAGAAGTTGAGAATATATATGACAAGAGAAGACAATGAACAGAGTTTGCATATGCTCATCTCGCCATCTGGCCATCCATATATAATGCATAATTGCACATATATATACATATGGCTAAACATGCAATTAATAATATAAATTCAGCACTCAACCTTATTACTTTACTCACATTATATTTTCAATATTAAAGGTGATAAATTGTATTCTTAAAATTACTTTCAATTTTAAAAGAGATATATTGTATTTCTAAAATTACGAATTTTAATAACATTACACGGTTGTTTATATTCATAATTTTTATAATTTTTAACTTTTATACCAAAATATTGTTTTAATGTGCTGTCGACATAATTTTTGCAACAATAATTTCACATTTTTTGAACTATTTAATAAATATTTAATAAATCTAATTTTATAAGTTAAAGTGTTTAATAAAATAATTTTACAAGGTAAATATTTAATAAGTATAATTTTATAATTATTTTAATAAAATATTTATATAAATCTAATTTTATAGTTAAAGTGTTTAATAAAATAATTTATCTAATTTTATAAGTTAAAGTGTTTAATAAAATAATTTTACAAGGTAAATATTTAATAAGTATAATTTTATAATTTAAAATATTCAATGGATAGAAGAAATGTTGAGGGTGTTAGGGGCGAGCATTCTGCGAATTCAGCCGATTTGAATAATTTTTTTACCAAAGTTTTTTAAATGAACTATTTTTTTGCCTTAACCGAACTCGACCGAACAAATATTTTAATCGAATTAATTTTGATTATTAACTGTGCAGAAATTTTTAAAAAGAAAAAATTATTTAACAGACCAACTTTAACCGAACGTTATAAATATTAACTGACTTTAACCGAATCAACCCAACTTCTTCGCTATACAAATTTAACTTAAGGAACATTCAGATGGTGAAAACAGAACTAATCAACTTAAAAAAAAAATAAAATAAAATAAATTGTCAAAACAAATGCATATTTAGCTCAAACAACAATAACTCAAATAACAAATACATATTTAGCTCAAACAACAATAACTCAAATTTAGCTTCAACCTTCAACATATCAAGTCTTCTTTTTTTTTTCCTTCCTCTCAAGCTCCTACAAAGAGCAAATTAAATTAAAATAGGATAAAAAGTGACCAGCTCAAATAGATTAAACAATTAATCACATGATTATTAATTACAGAAACTGGGATTCAACCAAGAACTCTAATTACTCGCATAGGAGCGGCAAAACTAAATGTATTATAGATAGAAGTAAAATTGGAATAAAGCATCCATGTTATGAAAATGACGTATAAGTAAAGGTTCAAAACCTATGAGACACAGAGAAACTGATTTAGGATTAGGACACGCAGATATGATTTTTTTTTTTTTTTTTATATATAAGCATCTTGAAAAACAAAGATTTCGACTCTCAATTTGCTTAAAAAACTTAAACCTGATGAATTTATTGAATTCATTTAATTTATTGAATTTACTAAATAAATTCATGAACAAAAAGATGCAATACCCAACCCTCAATTTTTGAGAGAAAAATTAATAGTTTTTAGAAGATCACAAACCAAATTACTAAGAGATTGCTTGTTTTTGTTGAATGCAAAGTTACTATTTTCATAAAAACGGAACTGCAGATCACAGCAACGTCAATACTGAAGCAGCATCATCAGATCACGGTAATGCCAAGACAATCAGCAAAAGCATTTGCAGATCGGAAAATATGTACGAAAATTAATTGAGGAAAGATGATCGGGAAGGGAAAAGAAGTGGTTTGAAGCCTACCTGGTGGTTGGTGCACTACGTTCGCCGGAGATGAGCGAAGGTGATCGATGATGGAGCTATAAAATCACAGCTTACCCTACGCTCGATCTCACAAGAAAGAAAATGGAAATAAGAAAAGATCTCTTGCAGATTGAGAGAGCGGCTGGAAGGGCAAGCAGCCTTGGTCCAAAGAGAGGGGGCGGTAGCTGAGAGATTAAGAATACTTTACTCACATTATATTTTCAATATTAAAGGTGAATATTAAGGGAGAGTTTAGGATTCGATTTTGGTTTTGGGAAATGGGAGTGAAATGAAAGAGCAACTTGTGTTTAAGTTTTACTATTTGTTTCCGCAAAACGACATGGTTTTGGACATGGGTTAATTCGATTAACTCGATTTGATTAATGGTTAACTGATTTGTTAATCGAAAACCAAAATTATAATTTTTTTTAACCCAATCGAATTCGCCGATTTGGCTGAACCGAATGCTCATTCCTTGAGGGTGTTATAAGATCAAAATAAAAAATTTCAAGACCATTAATTGATTTTACATTAGAATTATTTAATTGAAGAGGTTTTTTTTTTTTTTTTTTTTGAAGAGGTTTTTTTTTTTTATTTTTTTTTTAGATAATATTTAATTGAAGAGTGACTGTAAGAAAAAGAAAATACAGTTTTTATCTAAATGATTGGTTTTTTTTTTTTTTTTTAGATAATATTTAATTGAAGAGTGACTGTAAGAAAAAGAAAATTACAGTTTTATCTAATGATTCTTTAAATTATTTTGATCCAAATAAAACCATAGCATATCAAATAATTAAGAGTTCAAAATAGCTTGTAATTTGGTAATGGTCACAGAACCAGAAAGACAACCAAATCTTGACAGTTTAGTGTGCTAAAATTCATTTTCCTTATTGAATTTTGTAATTAGCCAAACAAACTGATCAATAAAAAGGTGAAAAAGAAAAGAAAGAAACAAAAATGAGCAAATATTACCTTGAGCAAATGCAGGGAAACCACCGCTTAGATAAAAAGAACAGCCTACAGCTTCCAGAAGAATTCTTTCACATGTTGAGCAGCAGTATAATAATGGCGGTTTCTCAGACATCATCATTGCAGGACATCCATAGGAAATTTTCATTAGCAACACAAACATAAAATATAAAAAGTGATAACTCAACGGAAAAGTGATAACAGAGTTGAATTAAAGAAGAAATGAACCGGAACAACAATCACCTTATGAAGTAGGCTGAGAACTTGGCTGACGTTCCTCTTTGGAAAACCTGATCTACACAGTTGTTCTTCATTGTCAACATGTCTGCCACCAAACCCAAAACCAGGTTCTTCAATTTCGATTTTTCAAATATCCCTATAAGCAACTCTGTTTCCAATACCAACATTCCCTCATTCCCTGTTTCAATTACAATTTTAAAAATTTGGCGGATTGCATAACCCTTGAACTTTTCTCAAATTGCATTTGTGTCTGTCAACTTTGCGAAACCGCTTGTATTCATTAAGTTGTTTTTTTTATAGCTTTTGTACTCCTTGACACGCTGTAAAAGAGCCGTATAAACTCAGCGTGAACCTTTTAAATTTTTTCCACCGTAGTAAAAACGATGTCATTTACATTATCAAATCATTTTAACTTCATCTATTATCCCCTTTCTCAGTTTCTCTCTGTATCTTCTCCTTGTTCTTCTCTATAATCAAAATCAAACCAACCTTTTTAAATTATTTTATGATTAATGAAATCCAAACTACTAGCACAGATTTGTATGATTTGTTTTTAATTTTTATTTTTTTCTTGATATGATTTTGGGTATTGATAGTCTCTGAATTGTATTATTGATATTATAGGAGATGTTTTATCTCAAATTTAGCATTGATTTCATCAAAGAAAACTCTTTTTAATTTAAAGTTTTAAATTTGTTTGTGTTTTTGTGTTTTTAAATCTAAGTTTGTTTTATTTTTATGTTCTTTATGTTTTTTTTTTTAATTCCAGAAAAAAAATAATGGAGTTCAAATCTTTTGTAAGAGAAAGGGATTTCAACAAGATGGAGGTGTTGAGACTTTTTGATTTTCCTCTCAGTTTGGGATTTCGGTTTATGGCAAAGAGTTAAGATTTTTTTTCATTTAATTTTTCGTTCTTCTCTTTTTTTTTTTTCCCTTCCTATTATTTCTTATACATGTAGAAACCAACGTGGCAAATAAATTGATGACAAATCAACTGCTTATAACACGTTTGTATTTCACGCAAAATCTTCAATTTGCTCAGGGATACAAAAACTGCAAAAAAAAAAAAAAACTTAAAGGGCATAAGTGTCCCGCAAATTGAGAGTCACAAATGGCAATTTAAGAATAGCTGAGGAGAAAATTATGCATTCGGCTATTTTAAAACCATGATTTTAAAAATACCAATTGACCAAGTAACTAAGTGAAGAAATAAAGAATACCAAATCATTATGGTCTGAAGTTTTCCAAATACCTTCATCTTTTTCTTGTGTTTTGTTCTCCTTCTGCTCAACCTCTTGTTTTTATGTTGTCCTTCTGATCATTCTTCTATTGATTGAGGTTTTCACTCCAGTCAGCATGATGATGTTGAAGGCTTGATGAAGTTACAAAGGCCATTACATTGACTTAAAAATCGAAGAGAAGACTTTTTGAATGCCAATGGAATCCTAGGTAAAGTGCCTATCTCTATCTCTATTTTGCAGTGTAGATAATCAGGTTCATACATAGCTTTCTTGAGCTTTCTCCCTTGAACAAAAATAATGAATATAATTTTCAGTTGGTGGACAAGCAAAACATTGCCCCACAATCCACCAATCTAATTTTTAATGCTTCACCCAGTCAACAAAACCCCTAAGATTCTATCATAATTTGAAATGAAATAAACAAATGAAATTATGAAGGTTAGGGAAAACATCGAGACAACTTGGCAATGTATTGATATGGAAAAATAAATAAATAAATAAAACACACATCTCTGCTCCTTTTTGCTTCATTTATTTATATACTGAAGTGGTAAAGTTTATACTAAAATTTATAATCTCACTGCGTTGGTGATGCAGACCAACTAGAATTAATATTCTATCCCAACATATTCTGTCAGCAACCTTGAGAAAATTAAGGTCAATCTCAGTGCATTGCCTTTTCCGTACAATAGTGTGCATCGTCGTTTAACTTTGGATGGCAAGATCCTGCAGGAGATATTGCAAAATTCTTCAAATATTATTCTTAAAATAAATAGGAAACTGTCTTGCTTATCTTTTATAAACACCAGGTAATTGACTTATCTTTCCACATACCACATTTCTTACAATGGAAGAAATTTTCCCTCCCTCCATTTCTGTAAGAAGGAAATGAATGGGTTAAGGTATTTCAAATGGCAATAGCTTCTCAAGGAATCATTACAATGGAAGAAATTTTCCCTCCCTCCATTTCTGTAAGAAGGAAATGAATGGGTTAAGGTATTTCAAATGGCAATAGCTTCTCAAGGAATCAATCACTAGGCCATGAAAAGATTACTTAATCCAGTGATTTAGACATCACAACTTAGCAACAAATTTGGCGAAACCAGTATGGACAAGGAGTAGTTTAGGAATTTTCTTTCATGAAGAACAGAGGATATCACTATGATGATTATGGGACGTAGAGATGCATGATTACGCTAGGAATGAACTGAGACAATGGTAAAGAAAATGAACATTCTACCTGCAAATTCCACATTCATCACAATGGTATTGATTCTTTGAAACCTGAAAACAGCAATCCAGTAGAGTAATAAGTAAAAATGGTCTAAAGTCAGATAGATAAACACTGAGAAGCAAGGAAGAAAAGTACATCATTGTCGAAGAATTTGCACTTTGCACAAAAGTACTCTCCCATACAAACACCACAACTAATGCAATTCTGCTGAACCTGATTGAATACAACATAAGAAAATTAAGAACCCAGGAGAATTTTAACAGATCACTCATATATCTTTGACTTGCACCATCTTATTTTATACACTTACATCTTGTTCTGTGTCACAAAGGGAGCAGATAACCTGAAAGACAGGAAACAGGAAAGAATTAGAAACCGATACAAGACAGTTCGAGGAACAAAATAACCTTCAAATCATCCCTGTCCCATTAAACAGAAGTACAGACAACCATGTTTTAGTACCAGCAGCGCAGATAAGTTCTGCATTTTATCAGAAAACTTAGGCAGAAGGCCAAATTATATAATGTTCTGCATTGCAAAATGCAATCCATGCAAATAATTAAATTGTATCTAACATTTTTCATTTCCTAGTTTGGATGAGAGGTTTTATTAAATTGTATCTAACATTTTTCATTTCCTAGTTTGGATGAGAGGTTTTGTCAATCTATAATCTATCGTTGCCTGACTAACAGGGGAGGAGACATGTGGAAGTAAGTGGAGTCACATGACCACATTTGAAAGTTTCAATAGTGATCCCACTGAAATTGTTAAAAATGCATCTAAATTTTAATTAATTACTAATCTTTTACCTTAAAAATTTAAAATACAGAGTGACTTTAAGTGTTCACTCTAGTATAATTCTCAAAAAAACAACCCTGTATTGTATATATTTTAAGTGGTACCTTCATTAAGTTCTCAAGTGCTCCACTAGAATTACTAAGATATCTCTAATAATTGATTTTAAATTTTTTACATAGTGAAACCAACTAAGAAATTGAATGAGAAACTAATCTTTAAATGAATATTTGATGTCTTATACATTAAAAATCGTATAGTTAATAATATTGATAATGACATATTTATGCAACAGAGTCAAAATATAAAATTACGTTAACAATATATATATATATATATATATATATTACAACTATTAACTCGAATTTCTTGTATGCTATTTTGAATTTCTTGTATGCTATTTTCGAGCTATCTTACTCACACCAAAACTAAATTTCTTTTCCAAGCAAACTTATGTTTTACATGAAAATGGTATATTTAACAACTATACACATTGAATTTGCTTTTATAAAATATTATAATGTCTTATTTATAAAATATTATAATGTCTTATTATTTTAAGATATTATAATATTACTAAATATTTATTTAATAATATAAAAAATATTTGTGATCCACTACTCAAAATTCTTGGCTCAGCAACTATTGAATAACTTTTATCAATAGTCATGGGCTAAAGTAGAAATGGACAGGACACATTCCTAGTTTACCTCCACTCTTTTGAGTTGACCTTCACATTAACTCCTCTTTTTTTCACAATCCACTTTGGACATCAATGCTTATTAGCTGCTTCTCAAAGTTTCCAATTCAAACTATTCAAGTATTCATCACAATCTCATCAGACTATTTGAAGTTCCATCATAACTATTCCATTGGATAGACCTTTCATTCAAATTACTATTATTACTACTACTACTTAAAAAAAGGGTAAAAATTATTAGATTTAGCAGAAGTTTGAAAAAAACTCAAACCTTTATGACTTCATGGCTTGGAATACAGTGTTTATTACAAAGATTAGTTTCCATTGCATTCTGCCAATAAAAATACAACATTAAAAAATAACTAATATTTAACCAAGAATAAAAATAATTAGCCAAATAAAAAATAACTAATATTTAACCAAGAATAAAAATAATTAGCCAAAATAAAATCCATAAACACGGGTTGGGTTGCAGAAGAAAGGATACAGTTGCTGTACCTTGGCTTCATCATGGCAGTGCCAACAATCAAAAATGCCATTGCAACAAGGTGCTCTAATTTTGCATCTCCTTCTATAATGTGAGCAGCTAAATCCACCAAAGAACAATGCATGATAGTAGCAACAAAACTTTCCATTAGCAAAGAAACAAAAGCCAAGGAACTAGACGGAAATATCAATAAAAAATATGAATTTGAGTATTATCAAAGCTCCCATACCCAAAATCATCAGATCCAAACTCTAAGGGAAACACATGATTAACAGGTTCACTAGGATTTGATTGGACCTCAATTTTAGTCTCCATTCTCTTTGACATTTGACCATTCTGCTCTATCTTCCTAGTCAACCCTTGTCTATGATCCACAGATCCAAGCTCCATCGATGATGAACTTGCATCTCCAAATTGACTAAGGTCAGATTGGTGCTGAATTTCAGCCCTTGCTCTGTTCTCCTGACAATTGACCTCCTCCATCTTTCTTCTTAATTAGAACATGTAAAAATAAATTGAATAATAATAATCACCATCAAGTACCTATTACCGATTGCTGTTTCATTTAACTAGATCATGAAAATGTACCTGATTTTTTTGGAGATAAGCACACACAAGAAGAAGATGAAAGGTAGAAGGGACATTTTGATAGGGTTATCTAAATTGTGAAGGGTATATATATACTGCACTATTGAGTAAATGCACTGCCAGACAGCACAGGCTAATCCAAAAATATGAACAATTACAAAAAGTTCGCTAGGTGGGGAAGTATCAGTCGAGCGACAACAAAAACAAGAACAAGTTGACCGGCCCCTTTCCAATGTGATAAGTCCTTCTCTACGAGCCATATTAACTAGCTCAAGTGTAGAAATAAATAAACCCACAAATGACAGTACCATGCCTACTAACAGATAACCAAGCTGGTCGAGAAGAGCTGAGACACCCTCTAGAAGCAGGCTCCCAATCAAAAGACTCCACTCTGTTGTTTCCTGTAGAAAAGACATTATAACTAAGATATTTCAAAACAATCATGATGAAAAAACTTGCAGTTCATGATTGACGGTGCCCAGTTTCTGTTGTTTCCTGTAGAAAAGACATTATAACTAAGATATTTCAAAACAATCATGATGAAAAAACTTGCAGTTCATGATTGACGGTGCCCAGTTCAATATTGCACTAAGTCTCTCCCTGGGTTGTCATGTTGTCTGTTTTAGGCCATTGGATGCCCATACTGTTTGCTGTTTGTTCTTTGAGAAAGAAGTGCTCTAGGTGAAAGGTGTTAGTCTTACAGACCAAGACCTATACCTCCTTTACTCTCTCTATGATACTTTGGCATCATCAATAATCAAATTAGAAGGAATAGTTGTATTTATTAAGGTCTTACAACACTTGAAGGTGAACTCTCTCCAGTTTCTGGATCAATTTTAGTGCAAGCATTTCTGGATGTAACAGGACTTTGACCCTGGCTCCAGCCTTCATTCAAATCCTGAACAGCAAATATTTGAATAATCTCTGGTTCTGATAATTGAAGAGTTGCCTGTGTGCTGCTTTCTTGTTTATGATCTATCGTTAAAGACTGGCCTTCAGCTATTATTACTCCTTCCTTTAGTATCTTTATCTTCCTCTCCTCAACAAGTTTCTTTAATCTTTTCTTCATGGTCACTGTTAGTACCTTCACATCAATGGTTGCTTTGACTGCTATAGTTTCATCCCCCTTAATAACTATTACCTGCTGTACTCCTGTAATATGACATATAATTGCCCATTAAAGTGTTATGCTTATTGCTGTATTAATGCAAAAGGTCAATTAGTGGAGAAACAAAATTGGAAGTTCAATAATACTGGAGATACAGTAAGGGTCGGAAGGTGTTGAAAGATTAAAATGTTACCTCTGATTCTGCGGATAATTTTACGGATCTTCCTGATGCATCCATCACAATGGAGTGGCACCTTGAATAATGTCGCTGTTGCTGAAGCCTATGTCACCAAAAAAAATTGAAATTCAAAGATAAGAATGCAAATATTAATCACAATATGAATATATGCCTTTCACATTTCAAATGAATGAAGCAGCCTAGATTGCAGAGGAAATAGATAAGGTACAGAAAACTCAACCCTGCATGAGTTTTGGCTCTTAATTGTTGAAATTAAAAAGGAATTTTAACTGACATATCAATTTGAGTAAATCCTATTGTTAGTTTATGAAAGATTGAATCTCATTCATACATACATGCATATGTTTTACTTAGCCTACTTGAAAGATTTTTGAGACAATAACAATTAAGCTTTAATCCCAAACTAGTTGCGTTCAGCTAAGTAAAATTTGAGACAGACTTTTGAGACATTACATAAAATTTGATGATACTCTCATTTGAAAGCTCTAAAGAAAGGCAAAGAACAGGCAATACACATTTATACGAGGGAGAAGCAAAATATAAAGGAGAAATAATATTGACTCCAAAAAGTTCAAAATCTGCAATGAGAATACCTTTTCTGGTCCCAACTTCATTATGCTTTCTTCCATCTCAATACCATTAATCCCATTCTCTTGCCCGCCACTACCTTTCTTCTTCTTTCCATCATCACTGCCGAACCCACTGCCTTTGACACTTCCATTGCTGTATTTCTCTTTTTCAATTGACAAGATCTCAATAGGTATATTCAGTCTCTCCTTCAGATTCTCAATTAACACCATTGGGTCCATGGTCCCTTTGATTGTCACTGTTTCCTTCTGTTCATCCTCTGACATCTCTTGCACACCTGAAATGAATTGAATTCTGTCAAGACTTACAGTTCCCTGACCCTCCATCGATGAAACGGATACAATAAGACGCAACTAACAAGGTCATGAATTACCAATTGTGTCTTCGACGATCTTTCTAATCTTCGGGCCGCATCCCTGGCAGTTGTGTCCCAGCTTGACCACAACAATTGTTCTCTCCAAGGACGCATCCCTGGCAGTTGTGTCCCAGCTTGACCACAACAATTGTTCTCTCCAAGGACTGTACCCCATTAAAATTTGAAATTAATACTCAATTAATCGCAAACAACAAATAATAAACAAACACGAATACAATCTTAATTAGCTTGAAAACTTTAAATTGGGCATTAATTTCTTAGGGATTAATAAATGGCTATGCAAGTAAAAGGAAGCTGTACTTAAGCTAAAATAGAACCTGTTTCTCAAACGATATCCTGTCATCTCTGTTGCCGTCAGCGGCGGTGTCACAAATCCGGGGCTGAGCAGAGACAATGCTGACATTCTTCTTGATCTTCAGGCGGAGATATTCTTGAATCTCCAAGGAGTCCAATTTACCTTCCACAGTCAACTTGTTTGAATTTATATGTCATCTCTGTTGCCGTCAGCGGCGGTGTCACAAATCCGGGGCTGAGCAGAGACAATGCTGACATTCTTCTTGATCTTCAGGCGGAGATATTCTTGAATCTCCAAGGAGTCCAATTTACCTTCCACAGTCAACTTGTTTGAATTTATATCTGCTGTCACATTCTCTACACCTGAATTAAAGGAAAAAAATCAAGATAATAAATAAAATAAATCTGAGTAGTTGAGACGAAAAAATAGAGAAAATGAGGAAATATTTGAAAAAATAAATTCTAAAAACAGAGAACATTATGACTTTTTCATAATTCATAAAATAAAAAAAATTAATAATAATAATTCAATTTAAATAGTTCAAAATCAATAAATTGCAGGCTGGGATAATTGGAGATGGCAATAACAATAACAATAATAATAATAATAATAATAGTAATTATTCAAAAAATAGGGAAAAGGCATGAAATATATACATGAAAATGAAATACCTTTGAAGGTGCGAGCGTGAGCGATAATATTAGAAGAGCATCCTTCACAATGCAACTCAACCTCTAAAACGACGACGGAGATGGTACTGATAGCGGTTTCCATCATGACTGATAAATTGAATTAAATTAAGAAGAGAAAGATTTGAAGCAAACTGAACAGAAATACATAGCTGTGAATCTCTGTTTATAGTAATTGCTTCTGCTAAAATATGGAGAAGACAAGAAAAGTAGTCCATTATTTTTCTTCAATAATTGTACTCTTTCAATCAGTGGCGTTTGACCCTTCCTTTTTCTTAATTTTCTTCTAATATATATGTATTTTTTCAATTCATCCTCTTAACATTCCCAATAAACTTTCTTTATTATAGTTTATTATATATTTATCCTAGAAAATTTTATTCATAAAATCCGCCGCTGCTTTCAATATGCGTTCGAAAGCCAATACTTTTTTTGGTAAATTTAGCGAATATTTTTAATTTTATTAAATATTACCTCAAATTCATTTTTTCTTATCAATTATCGTTTTTTGTTCAGAATTCATTAATTTGTTGTTTAGTTAAATGTTAATTAGACCTACAACATATAAGCTCAGATTCACGTGGCCATTTTTTAATTATTCATCTTTATTTTTATAATTTTTAAATTGAAAAATTGCTTTGTTGAGATAATACCACGTACTTTCCTCAAAAACCCTAATAATTGATTTTGAGGCAAGAATGGCTATGGCGATGGAGGAAGATGAACATCTTTCCAAGAAGTGTTGTGCGATTATAGTTCCACGTCTTGAAAACATCGTATCAACGGTAAACCTAGACTGCAAACTTAACTTTCGACGCATATTCTCAAAGCAAGAAATGCAAAATTCAACCTCAATCGTTTCTCTGCTGTTATTATGAGAATTAAAAAACCAAAAAGCACTTCTCTCATTTTTGCATCTGGAAAGCTGGTATGTACCGGTGCCAAGACTGAAGAAGAATCGAAGATGGCTGCGAGAAAGTTTGCAAGAATCATACAAAAATTAGGGTTTCCGGCCAAATTTAGGGATTTTAAGATCGAGAATATAGTGGCTTCTTGTGATGTTAAGTTTCCTATAAAACTAGAGAGGTTTGCATGCAGTCCACATGAAGGGTATTCTACGTATGAACCGGAAATCTTTCCGGGTCTTGTTTATCGCATGAAGAAACCGAAGATTCTAATGCTAATTTTTGTTTCTAGAAAAACAATAATCACTGGAGCCAAGAAAAGCCGAGATACTTTCACTGCCTTTGAAAGCATTTATCCTGTTCTTGCAGGCTTCAAGAGGTAATAATCATCACTCGAAGGATTTTTCCTTTTTAAGTGCTTTCGAAGGAATTTTCTTGAAGCATTTATCCTCTTCCAGGCTTCAAGAAGTAATAAATTAATTATCATCACAGTAATTTTCTTTTTTTTTTCTTTTCAAAATAAATAAAGGATACTGTAATTGTCTTTTGTTTTTTTTAACAATACTATAACATTTATTAGTTGTTGATTATTGGTGTTGTTGGATGTTTTTATGTATTTTACATTACTAAATTAATTAATGGATTAGGTTTGAATTTCAATATGTTGTTTGATCATATATATATTTTTATAGATTGAATTGTAAATTGAGGTGTAATTAGATTATCATTGTTAAGCATTTTATAGTAGTTATTTCATCGTATTAATTTATTCTTCATGAAATTTTCAACGTACTCCTCTATTCCATAATACTTGTCACATTTGTAATTTTACATTCTTTAAGAAAACCATTAAATTTGTTTAAGTTTCAATAAATTATTAAACAAATTGATTATATTATCCTTAATTTAATACTAATTCTTTGAAAAAATCATTACATTGAAATACTAATTATTGGTCATATTAAAGGATAAACATGAAAAAAGAGATTTATTACTCATTGAAACCACAAATGTGACAAATATTTTAGAACAAATTATTTTCTCAAACGTGATAAACATTATGGAGTGGAGGTGGTAGTATTTATTAATCCATATATAGCATGGCTAGTTGCTCCTTGTAGCCATAGTCTCATATATCAAATATAGGTTTTCTTATACCGCTAAATATATGCCAAATATTTTTTTTATTCCTTTCTATTATGTGAATTAACATATGTTAACGAGCTTTGGGGACAAAACTGTTGTGGTGGTGCCCACTCAAGTGGGATCCACACACTTTTGAAAAAGAAAAAAAAGGGAAAACACGTTTTTGATAATCAATCTTTAAAGAATGTTGTGCCAACAATTGAAGATGGAAGCGTTAATTGCCGTCAGTTGGTGGACACATTAATTAACGCATCCTCTTCTCCTATCAATAGAGGTAGCGAAGCCTCAAGCAAAACACAGCTGAAAGAAAAGAAAAAAAAAATGTAGAGAGAGATATCTGGTTTTAGGAAGGGTTTTCTAAAATTAGGGGAGAGAAAAATAGTGAGGAAATTATTTTGGGGTGTTTTTGGGAAACACTATGTGTGCCACTAAAATTAGGGGAGAGAAAAATAGTGAGGAAATTATTTTGGGGTGTTTTTGGGAAACACTATGTGTGCCACTATTTTTGTATTACTCTCTTTGTACCTACTATTTTTTAATAGTGGAAGAATTATTCAGAGTTTGTCCCGTGGACATAGCCCTAAACAGTTGAGAGTGAACTACGTAAATTTCTGTGTGTCACAAGTTTACTTTTTCGGTGCGTTAATTTTCTCTTAATTGATTGAAAGGGCCAAACAAGTGGTATCAGCGCTGAGGCAAGTGGTACCTGAGGCCCAACAAGTGGTATCAGAGCTGATGCCCAACAACTGGTATCAGAGCCGAAGGTTTCGGTAGGTCCATCCGGTCAGATAGTGGTACCAGATCCGTGGATATATTTTGAAAATAAATATACCACGATGAAGAGAAAATTACGATGAGTCCATTGGTACTGTCTGCTCGGAAAGACGTTGCAGAATCGACTTAGTGATGAATAGTAAAAATAGTAACGTTGATGCTGAACAGTACTATTGGCGTTACTGATGCTGAGTCCGTAAGCCCAGCACTATTCACGCACACAGTTACTATTCATGCACACAGTTACTATTCATGGTCACTATTCACGTATACTACTGTTCACGTATACGGTTTATGCTGGTGATGATTTTCAGCGCAAGTCAAAATGGACAAGCAAAATGATCAGTCTAAATGGTGGAAATTACCATATATGGAGAAATAAGCGATCTCCTTATGGTAATCAAAATACATTTGCCTGTGTTACCGGAAGACAAGGCTGATGAGGAATGGGCTTTCGAGCATACGTCCAAATCTCGGTTGGCAGATTTGATGATGAAGGTTTCTGTAACACCTTCAGAAATTGTCAATGGAAGCTCACAAAAGGTTCATTTGTGGTAGCTAAAGACCAAAAGCTGTAAGTGATGCATGCGAAATTCTCCCAAGACACTTTAAGTGTAGCGGAGAATGACAGTACAGTTGAATTGTGGCATAAACGACTACGCCACATGAGTAAGAAAAATCTGGCAAGAAAGAACCGCCCACATGAGTAAGAAAAATCTGGCAAGAAAGAACGCCTTACTGGCATTAGATGAAGTTCCACCAAAGACAAGTGTCCTGAATTGTAATGGCGGGAAAGCTCCAAATAGAGTAAGCTTTCAAGAATTCCACCCCTCCCCTCCCTTCCTAGAATGAAGAATGTACTAACTCTGCATCTCCATTCAGATTTGTGTGGACCAATCTTGAACAATGTCATTTGGTTAGAAATCGATTATTTTTGTGATATTTATCGATGACCATCCCCCCCTCTCAGGCTCAAGACTCGGGAATAAACAACATTGAACCGTACCTTTCTAAACCCTGGTTTGAAGAGACAGATCGCAAGAAGCTGAAAGTCGTATCAGAACAGATAATGGCTCGGAGAAAACACTGGGCGATTTCACACACTGCTCTTCTGCAAAAGAGCATGCACTTCAACATAAACCGCACACCTCCCAAGATGCCCGCAACTTGAACACGCTTTGGCTGAGAGGATGAACAAAACTTTGATGCGAGAGAGTCAGATCGTTTACTCTCCCATGCAAAGTTGCTCTAAAAGATTTGGGGTGAAAGCGTTTCTCACAGCAGCTTCCTCGCCCGTTCACCTATGTTCCCTCTATAGTATGATACAACCTCCAGAGCAGAGTATCGGGTTAGGAAGCGGATGTTTCCTATGATCCGTTCTGTGACGTTGGTTTTGGCTCGCAAACGCCTTACGTGCATCCATACTCGAAGGATCGAACCGCGTCTTAAGCTTGATCGTCAAGACTAGACGGTTGTACCTTCATTTAGCTCTATGGCCTAAGACCAACTGTGGTTCATCTAGGTTTTATGACCCAAAATCCAAGAACATGATTATCAAGAAATCGGGTGATGCCTGTATTTGTTGAACGATTAGTTATTGAAGATATTGAACGCGCAGTGCCAATCACGAATCTGATCGAAGACTCAACAGACATACAGAGAAGGTCCCCTCCAATACGAACGGCAGCACAAAATCTGGGAGATGAAGAAAATGTTCTCCACTAAGCAAACCACAGTGCCACAGGTTTAGCATATCAGCAGTTCCTTATCCCCAGATGAACCCAGAAAGATGATTTCGATGGTCTTCATGCTATCCCAACAACCTCCACGCGACCGTGAAAGTTCTCACACATTAACGCCAGATCTAAGTAGAGTCTGACAACATACCTACTAGATCATCCAGGTCAATGAGTATGTACTAACGACTTCAACGGGGGACGAACATCGAAAACCTTTGAAGAAGCTCTGGGAAACATGAACCACAAGAGGAACTGAGGAACTGGATTGAAGCCATGCAAGATGAAATGAAGTCCTTGCATGAGGATGAAACATTTGAGCTGGTGAAGTTGCCCAAAGGCAAGAAAGTTTTGAAGAACAAGTGGATGTTCAGGATCAAGTAGGAAGAACACAGCTCCCAACCACGATTTAAAGCTAGACTGATTGTGAAAAGATTCAATCAGAGAAAGGGTATTGATTTTGATCTTTTCACCAGTTGTGAAAATGACATCCATTCGAACAGTGCTTGAAATGACCTCTAGTTTTGAACTGAAAATCGAGCAAATGGATGGAAAGACTGTCTTCCTACATGGAGATTTGGAAGAAAAAAATATACATGGAGCAACCAGAGGG